TAAACCCTGGACCCTAAACCGACACCCTCAACGCCTGCAGCCCTGCAACCCAGCTTCTCAAGACATGTCTTCTATGTCCTAGCCCCAAATCAACCAAACTTCATACATAAACCCCTGATTCTCAAGGATTACGCTTACCGTATTGTTTTCCTATGCAGAGATGCAGGTTTCGATCAGGCTCCTTTGCTAGGTGAAATGGAGAAAGCCCTGAGCCAAGCCCTTACCCTGGACCCAGGCTCAAAACCCTAAACCCTAAACCCTGAACCCTATCGATGCCAGGTTCCACTGCGTTGCTTCTGAACTTGTCGTCGCATGCAGCTGTGGCCCGGGTGCTGAAAGAGGGAGTACCAGGCCTCGCACATTGCGACCGTGGGTTAAGGTTGCGGAACTCAATCTAAGTTACCGTTATAAGTATATTCCATGATAGATAGAGGTGTAGAGTCAATGTAGAGTCAAGGCTACATACTCCTATATTGGAACACTATGCTAAGCTTTCTGGCAAGAGGGGATTCTTTGTGAAGTTGCCACAAGAAGCTTCAGTTGACTCCCAAGTCTGGGCTGGGACTCCTGGTAGCCTCCGATGGAACTCAAACGTTAGACCCTAAACCCTAAACCCTAAACCCTACAGGTTTAAGGTTTAGGGTTTAGGGTTCAAGCCTTAGGGGTCCGCGGAAGAGCCGAGACGAGAGTCGAACAAGTTCTGTCGCGCAGAGCAGGTGTCTTAGAAAGGGTTTCGGGTTTCGGGTTTTGGGGTTTCGGGTTTGGGGTTTCGGGTTTGGGGTTTCGGGTTTAGGGTTTCGGGCTTTAGGGTTTCCGGTTTAGGGTTTCGGGTTTCGGGGGTTAGGGTTTAGGGTTTAGGATTTCGGGTTTCGGGGTTTAGGGTTTAGGGTTGCGGGGTTTAGGGTTTAGGGTTTCGGGTTTAGGGTTTAGGGTTTCGGGAGTCGCGAAGCGGCTTCAGGTTGCGGGGCTTTGCTGAAAAGGGGCCTTTGAGGGGTCTCCTCAGATGATTCTTCTTTCATGAGACGAGGTGAAGTCACTGGGATCCTAATGTAGAGCAGCCCCACAGAAGACTTAAAGCTTACTTTTGTAAGCCTCATAGTTTAGACCAACCTGTCTCTGGAGGGCCAGATCTCAGCCTAAGTTGAGGTTGATTTGCAGCAAATTCTCCATCTATACAGCTGCATATATCTCCGCACGCTAGAAATCTTATGCAGTTGCTAGCACTAAGTCTCCGATTAACCATCTTCTTCTTGTATTCCTTCATAACCCTCAGCCCTGAACCCTAACCGCCTGCCGGGCCCATCTTGTTTACGAAGATTTTTAGGGTTTTAGGGTTTAGGCTTCAGGGTTTAGGATAAAGTTGATCTTTTTTACGAAGCGTCTTCAGAGGCTTTATGAGGGCCAACCTGGTTCGACATGTGAGCCTGAATACTCATTGATAGCATCCTTGTATATACGAATAGGGTTTCGGGTATTAGGGTCCCCAGAAGCATTATGCCCCGAAACCCTGTTGAAATTGTTAAGGCTTCAAGCAGTTTCCGGAAATCCTGAATCCTAAGCCCTTATAGACCTACCCTCTTCGACGTGTCAGAACTTAGTAGGGTCCCCAATATAGAAGCCTCAATAACTACCAATAGGGTTCTTCCTTGCAATACAGCAGGAAGGGAAGACATCGGAGGGGAAATTCTGTTCTAAGCCACAGCAAAAACTTATCCCGAAGTATCCCGAACAATCCCATACTACTATACACATATGGGAACTCACACCAGGAAACAAAGCCTTACTCGAACACATAAGGCAGCTGTGGCAGCAGGTCCCTAAACCCTAAACCCTATGAGCACTCTGGATGTTGGGCGCCTACCACTGGCAAGACGTAAAAGAGTCAAACCCAGCTGTTAAAAAAACCCTCAACCCTAAACCCTAAACCCTAGACCCTCCTCAATCTCCTGCAGGCTGCGCAGCGGATTACCTTCCCGGGGAAGAGGTGCGGTTTGATGTCCGGAAGCGCGTCGTCAATTGAGTGTTTGTAGCAGTGCCAGTACAACAAGGACGACAGCAACAATTGTGCGCTTCGACATACGGCGTGCAACTTACTGCATACTACGGACTTACTTTTATTCTCACTTCCACCTACGAGCTGCACTAGCGACCGGTGAGGATTGACTAGGTACGAACTGGGCCCTCCGAGCTACTAACTGCTCACTACTCATTCTGACCACTGTAACTACTATCTACCACTAACAGTTCTGAAATCAGTGAAGAGCGGATACCGGCAGATACTCTCTCTGGAACTTGTCGCAGAAAGCCGCCCTAGCATTCTTCAATTGAGCGGTTGAGGGCTTGTCTCTGGTTTGTGCTTGTTTGGTGTTGGTATTGATGGGGTTTCAGGGGCCTGGGATTGCACCCGACATTTCCAACGTTTGTTACTTTTTGTCAACTTGCCGAGGGCTCAAGCCTGGGTTAGTCGCCTGCAGCCATGGAGTTTGGCATCTGCGACCTTTTCAGGAAAGCCGTGGAGTTGGTTAAGGACAAGACGAAGCGCTTGGTCGAAAGGCTCGTCGACAAATCCAAAGACTTCGCGGATGGTGCGATCGATTCTATGGGAGCGTTCGTCGACGGGGTAAAAATTTTTGGGTGCCCTTCGCGACCCCCGCTCGCTGATGAAATCCACCGTTCGGAGCTGCCGCGGAAGGTGACGAGCACCGACCTTGGAGCTTGATTCACCACGCGACGGCCCTGAATTGAGCTCTCCGCACTACTTCGTCCGCTAGCGGAGTCTTATCCGCAGGCTGAAAGTCGTGCTTTGATGATTCTCAACCATCTTAAGATATTCCTTAGAACCCCCCCCCCCCCCCCCAGGATACCATTCTTGACCCTCATTAGTTGAGGGGCCAAGCCAAAGAGCGTCTCAGCGGAGGCGCCCCACCAGCATCCTGAAAGGATGGGGCGGATCATCCTTGATCTAGGTTCCTGAGCAGTAGGGTTTAGGGTTTAGGGTTTAGGGTTTAGGGTTTAGGGTAGTACCCTTAAGTTGCCCTCTTGATTGCATGGCTCCCTTATCAAAGATGAATAACTGGAGTAAGGGTAGCCTTGGTAATTTTGGTGTCACTCAGGAACCTGGGTTAAGACTTGAGTGGTTGTCAAATTTAAGGTCCCTTTTTGGGTCCTTATTATAATACGGCACCTAATATTTAGGGTACCCCAAAAGGGACCATAATTTTGACAACTACCCACTTGAGTCAGCTCGCCTGTTTTCTGTTACCTGTCCGCCTGGCCATGGTAAAGAGACGCAGCCGCAGAAGCCTTCCTGAAGTCTTAAACACTAAACCCGAACTTCAGGCCGAACACTTCCCCCGAAACAGTATATATATATATGGGTATGTATACATATATATATATATATATGTATATATATATATGCACAATACAATATAACCAAAAACAACATGATATAGTATAGTATACTATACTATGCTATGCTACGCTATGCTACGCTATACTATACTATACTAAACTATACTATACTATACTTTACGATACGATACTATACTATAGTATACTGTACTGTACTGTACTGTACTGTACTGTACTGTACTGTACTGTACTGTACTGTACTGTACTGTACTAATACTATACTGTATTATACTGTACTACACTGTACTATACTGTGCTATACTGTGCTATACTATACTAAACTATACTAGACTATACGACGCGATACTATACTATACTATGCTATACTATACGATACGATACTATACGATACT